ACAACTGTAGGTAGTGGACACCCTTTTATTCATCTTGTTTATCAACGAATTACCTGGGCTCACCGATTCCCCTATGGTTCTCTACGTAAATGACTCAGAAATTCGAAGAGAACTAAGGGGCTATACTAACATGCTGACACTGTAAGATCTCAAAAAATTGTTAGATTGGTACAAAGAATAAATGCTAACAGTCAGAGAAGCGCGTAGCCATGTACATTGGGCACGCAAGCGTCAGCTGATACGAACTACAGAGAATAACACTCCCATCAATTCAGACTCATATAGATCTAGGTGTCATAGTGAGTCATGAAACGAAAACTACAGCACACTGTCATGCTGTGACAGTTAGACGTCTTCGATTTTTATGGGCAATACGCAAAGCATATACTAAAGTAAACAGTGATGTGTTAAATTCTTCATATAGATCTCTGGTGATTTCCGTCCAGTCATTATTTTAAGGAGGTTTACTACATTCTAGAAAGGATTCAAAGGAAGGAAACACTTATGACTCTTGGTATGACCAATTCAGCATACGAGGAAAAACTAAACAGTCTGAATCTCTTCTTCCTATCATACCGTAGGCGAAGGGGAGATCTCATTACAGTGTTTAGAATTCTAAGAAATAGCAATGAACCTGATCCATCTTCTCTCTTTCTTCGCACAAGGTTGAAACGCCGTAAAGGATATAGCAAGAGGGTTCGAAAGCCAGGGAGGAACTATATGGCTATGAGGCGCTGGTTCTCCCACAGAGTCATACACTCTTGGAACCGAATTTCAGAAGAAGTGATGTCAGCATCCACAACTGACTTTCTCAAGGAGGGTTTAGACAAGCACAGAAACTTATCAGAAAAGGATTAAGGTAGACTTGATGCCTTCTTTTTCCAGTCAATAAATCTGAATCTGATAATTAACCCTTAGACTTTCAACTCTTGTGCTGTGTCATCTGAGGTCCTATCTTATGGAAAAAAACACAGAAGGTAAGTCAAGTTCGTAGTATTTCTCAGAAATGACGGCACTATCATTAGTAGACCTCTCTGTCTATGGTCTGATAAGGTGAGGATATTCAAACCGTTTTGTTGTTCATCGTATGAAAACTCAGCCATGTCGAGAATCGTACGCGTAACCTTCGTTTGAACTCTTCACAATATGCATTTGGTATCTTTTATCTAAAGACTAGTTGTTTAGATGTAGTACTCTAGTTTGCATCTTATCAGAGATGTATATAAAGTGTGGAATGTATTACTTGTGTTCCCAGTAAAGGACTTACATGGCGCTCAAATAGTTCTAAAGTCTCGAGATGCAACTCAGAGACAGTAAGCCATGGTTTTTAAGTGATAACTTACTATGACACCTAGGTCCGTTTGCCTCTGAAATAAAGTGAGGGGTGTTTTCTCTGTGTGGTAGAACTTGCAGCTGAGTGTCTGATGTGTATGGTTGCCTGAGTAACTATAATGATGGGAAGCACTTGTCCTTTTGGTCAGTCTAGCAAAATTCTGAGGTCTGCTTGCAGTGTAGGTGTGTCTCTGTTCTCCTTCAGTTCTCTCATCGGAATAAGGGACCATGGCACATTCACTGAGTCCAGGATTTTGTAACGCAGGATTGAGTGTAGTACCTTGTGGCACAGTACTTCATACTGTCATTCGGGAAGAGATTTTGGAGCGGATTCTTACTTTTTCGCTCCTACGAATAAGCAGTTATTGCTTTAAGTGAACAGGCAGTCTCTGATTCTGGGACTTCCTGGTTTCATTTAAAATCTAACTTGACGCATTTTATGAAATGCTTCATTAAAAGTTGTGGGGATGGCATCGACAGTTTACTTGTTCCTTCCTATCTGGCAAGGCTTTCTCTTACCATGCAGTGGTTTTTCAAGTAGAAAAGACTCCAAAATCCACACTGTGCACTGAACAACAAATTATCGTCTTTAAGTTGAGCTATAACAACCTATTAACTGTTCTTTTCTGCATCCTAATTAAGATGCTAGCGATATAAGTAGGCCTTTTATTTTGAAGTATAACATTTCATAATAGACAGGAATAAGTGTCGCATCCTTCATGTGAAGCAGTAACACTCACTGAATGGGGAATAGCCTGAAGATAGCAGTCACTGGTACTGGTACGTGAACTTTTAACTTATAGAAAAACCTTGCAGGAGATTCATCTGGTCCCACTGTATCTAGTTCGTTTAAGGTTTTGGACACAACGTTTTAGTAGGTGTGGTCCGGACCTGCATTGTTTTCGGTAGTGAGCCGGGGACTGTTGCTACATGGGGTTGAGTAGAGTATAGACCCCATCGAAGTAATCCTGCTCTGCCTTGGTCCTTCTGGTTTGGCTGAGGTGCACTTATGTCAATTTTGTGGTTGGTAATTCTGTAATCTGTTTTCTTCCTGGAGCTTATTCAAGAAAATGCTTCCTTGGGATGGTCTCTCGCTATTTGTGTCAGATTTATTCTAGAACTTGTGTCAACCTCGCGAAGATTCGGGTCACTTCAGGGACTGTAGATTTGCAATAAACTACGAAAGCACCAGCATAATTTCAAACAGTATTCCAAGTTTTTGAAATTCCTTTCAGTTTAGCGTTTTCAGTATATTTAAAGGGAAAAAGAAACTCTTTCAGAATGCTGGGAGTAACACAGGTTACATTGTTTAATTCCGGAGATGGTAACGAATTAAATCGGTCTATCATTTCTACTATCTATGACAAAAGAAATTGGAAGAGCAGCATATACGAAAACCATTGCCAAACTAATTAGGCTTTAAACTGTCACGTATTTGCCCACAAAAGAGGTCTGAAGATAAAGCTTGTGTGCCTAATATATAGACTTAGAAATTTGGTCGAGAACTGCTGCCCTAATAGTCTAACTATCCTTGTCGTCAAACTGCCAGAGAGACACAGGTTTATCTGTGACACTGTTGTTCAGTAAGTTGACACCGATAGATTCTTAGACGTAAAATATTATGGTTTTAGGGTTTGCCTGGTCAACCTTCTTTCCGTACGAGATATTTGGGCAAATTCAGTCAATGTTAATTTACCGGTGGACTCAGTTTTCATAGATTATCGACCGACTTTCTTTTCTAACTCTTATGGTAAATTTAGGTAGTTTCAGGCTTGGTTAAATGGTAGAAGACTTGATTTGGGACCTTCTCAAAGACAGGAAACAGAGGATGAGTGCCAACAGTGTCTTCTTATCATGATAACTGGTGAAGGACGATGTAACTCACGGTATTATTCTAGACCCTTTTTTCTTTATGTGGGGGATATCGTTGACAACTGCGCCGTCCTATCTAATGCTTACTGACGACGTTAACCCTTGTGAGGCTTTAGAAATTGATAGTCATCTACTTTGCAGGAAAACTCAAATCTTCGAGTTTATTAGTGTATCCAATGGTTTTTGGAAATGAATGAAAGCCAATGTCTAGTTTTGCATATTGGTCACAATGATATGCACAACTACTGAATAAATAAACTTATTCTGCCTAGATTAACTGATAAGAATTCACGAGTAGCTGTAAAACTGTGAAAGGTTTTAGAATATTATGTACTCTACAGGTGGCGTTTGTAAGGCTTGGTGTTGGCTTATTTCGCACATTAGCTTCAAACGATTTCTCACCTCATTCGAAATACGGGGTCCACGCAGTTGACCTATGTTTCACATACGAAGCAAACATATCGCAAATTTGAGAAAATTGGGGACTAAAGGGATGCTTCAAGTAAGGGATTCTCAAATCTCTCAGATAAGGGCAGGCCGAATCTGCTAAATTTTTTTCGCTGTCATATCATCAGCTTACGGGCCACTTTAGATTAGCACTCCGGATGGTGTGGGTGAGAGTTCATCCAAATTACTCCTCTTACCAGAATCATTCACTTGTAACAACATCAACTTGAAACTTAAAAAATATCGAATCATCTACATTGAGAAATTCCTTCTTTCGCATTGAATTCTAGACCAGTAGAATTCTATACTGATGTTTTTTGTTACAGTACCTTTATCGGTTAGATGTCTACTGAATGGTACGTAAAAAGGATTAATAAAGCCTTCGGTTTTACGGCCATTGCAGTGTGTAAAATTTCAGTATTTCTTCTTCATAAAGCCATAACCCCAGTTTTTAAGATAATCAGCATCCAAGTTAAGAACTTTATTATTAAATTACCACCACAACTGACTTTGTAAAGGACAACTTTATGTACGCCAACCCAACACTGGGTCGTAACTATTGTAGTTGTTTATTTCTAGGCACTGAAGTTGATGTTCACAGGTTAGATGTATTTAGAGTTAGCAGCATCTTTTTGTTGCACAAAAATCATAGGCCAGTCTACCGCATAAAGTCTTATTTTGATGATGATGATGGTATGTGTATCTGACCAACTGCATCACTGGTTTTTCAACTTGTCAACATGCTAGTTCACATTGAAATTGGCCACATTATCAGTTCACTCAATGCACTTCTGCTGGTCATTGAGGTAGATGAAGATACATATTTAGTGTTTATAACGTAAAATATTTGTCAAGAATGATAATATTGCCAACGAAAGGCTTCTAGTTGAGAGCACTGTCGTAGTAATTTTTCCAAGATGCAATATTATTCAAAATGCACGTATTTAAATAAACGTTAGGCAATAGTAGGATGAGATGTGATGAGATTTCGTACTCAAAAAACTACTGGTAACTTTCTATAATAAGGTTGATCTACAACCTGGTTGCATTTTTGTTATATCACAAATGAAAATGTAAACTGTACACAGTTGGTATGATTAATAAAGTGTACGCAGATGGTTTTGATCTTCCTTAGCCAAATCTAGCAAAAATCAGGATTTCGATGGATAAAAATCATTTTTTAATGGCAAACAAGACTGGTGAACGTGTGCGCAGTAACGAATTACAAGATTCATAATTGCGGCTTGAAACTCAAATGTGATTTGTCAAATCACATCAGCTGTTGAAGTTCAAGGTCATTTGGGACTTTCTGATTGGTTGAGGGTTCACTATAAATTTTGTTACAGATGAGCGCGCAGATGATTTTCGATTTGCTTGTGCCTACGCGTGGGTCATATGTTTAACTTTGGAAATTACCCTGGAGATAAACTTATGAATAGAGGTGTCTTGTCAAGCGATACCCCAGTTACCCGTCTTTCCAAAATACTTTCAGAGGCTAATTTTCTTGACACTTCTAAGAAGATAGAACTAAAACGTGAGTATCCTTTGCAATTCTCATCTGGGTTTAAATAGTGAGTCAAATATCAAAAATCGTACCTGCAGATATAGATGAGAGGTATGTATAAATTACTGCAACATTATTGTTTTTAGTGCAAACCAAGAACCTCCCACAACGTCATCATGGCCTGAAACTCAAGAAATCTTAGTTCGTGAAAGTTCCAACAGTTGCTCATCGGGTTACTACAGTAATGCCACAACTCACTCCGCTCCAGCTTCTTGCATATGTGAACGCGTAAGTCTATAGAAGCTATCTTGTGATGTTGCTGAATTTATAGGTTTGTGAAACAAATACGTATGAAAATGATCAACCTGTTTCTACAATTGAAAGTGCCTATTGTTTTTCGGAGTACTTGACACCTGCTGAGAGCAAACTTCGCAGAGCTCACTCCTGCTCAAGTCGAGGATGGCTTGCCAAACGACAACGTCGGCAGCAGTGGCCACGGATATCTGGTATCTGTAGAGTGAAAGGGGCATCGAATTCATCCATTTTGAATGCTGACACTAATTCATGTCCCGCTGTTATAAATCACGATAATCAGTCAATGATGAGGCGTTATTCTTTACCACCAGTTGGCGAAGTGGGATCATCTGGGACTTCAGATGATTCTCCAGTAAAGTCAAATATCATGAGTTTTTCATCCTCCCAAAGTCCCAGCCCAAGAAAACAAGTAGACTTATCAAACAGTTCTATGTGTCCTGTGATAAAAAAGCAACGTTTTGACTCTCCCATGAAGTCTAATCTGGACGTTACACTACCATCAGAGGATGTAAATGATGTTTCAGATCATGAAAATGTTGGAAACTTATTTCCAAATGCAAATCATATGCCAAGGCCATTTTTTGATCTTCTGCGACATCATTCAACTCCTATGCCATCTTCTTATTCATACAAACCTTGTCCAAGATCCCCTGTGGAAGTCATTGCTGATGGAAATTTACACAAACCAGTTATGTCTAAATGTGTTTCCGAATTACCTTCAATTTCATATGATAGAGTACGTTCTTAGTGTGTTATTGTTTAACATATATTATGTGTAGCTTGTAACAACTCTTATAATGTGTAGTGATGATATGTCGAGATAATAATTTCATGTGTGTATATATAATGTTCAATCCGAAGTGACACTATGAAAAAACCTAATCATTGTATATTTTGGTGACGTAGTTCTATCTGTTCACCTGTGTTTATACTCATCAGGAGTTCCTTCCTTAAGAAGTATCTTTGCAATTTGTTTGACTATAGCACGAGACGTTTTGGTTACTGTTCCTTAACGTGTTTGTACTCTACGTGCATGATTACGCGAAACTGTTTTTCACTCAGGGATGCTTACATATGTGTATTACATCGCTGAGATTGTTGGTCCCTTATAGTATTTAGGTTAGATTCTACTTGTTTAGAATACATGTCTGCTTTTGTGTCATATATTAATGGCCAACACTTTCCTACAAATGGGATATGTATTCTCCAGTCTTGATACGCGTTTCCCGTTTATGGAGAGGTTCAGACATGCAGTTAAAAATCAACCATATACACCCGGTTTTTGTTTAAGAAATTATCATTAAGGTAATTGCAGTTACTTCGTTCCAATATCCAATATCGTTTTTACCAGCTGGTGTAAACCAATTTGATTTCTTTGTGCTCGCTTCTTGATTGTGAGGTAAAGGTTCCTGGCTTTCGGTAAAGTCCTGCGTGGTTCGTCCCGCCACTCGTCTGTCGTAGCTTTGGTTGACTCCAAAAGGAGTGGTGCTAGGATTAATTATATGTTGTTTGTAGTATACGGTGTGTTAAGACTTTGTTGCTACTGTGAATGGAGTTGATCCTTTCACCATTTAGTCCTCCTGTCGTGAACAAAAGAGATAATAATAATAACGTATAGCTTATTTAGACTAAATAAAACGTAGAAAAGACAGCTAATTAAATTTGAAGTCGATATATATATATATAAATGGGAGCGCACTCGAGTCTTTGCCCTCTGGTGAGCTACCCTTATGGGATTTCCACGAGGAAGCCCATACGTACTTAATGGCAGAACACCTTTGTTTGGGTGATCCTGGTCATTTGCGATCTTATAGGCAGTAATCAAGTGCCCCTCTAAGCCGACGGTGTAGCTTTTTTAACATGAATTAAGTAGTGGTGAAACAGAACTAAGTTATAACAGTCGTGTATGATTTAGTTTCAACATTTAATAAACATTCTATCTTTTCTCAAATTTCACGAATAGTAACAATTGATTGAAACTCCCCTTTAATGTTTTTCACTTTTTATAAATAGATTGCAAAGTGTATCGGTTCTCTGAGTAGTCACAGTTTGTGCAGCGATGGAAAGCGGTCACGTGCATTGCGTGTTGTGGATAGGACTGGCTCCGGTTTACATTGTGTGTCAATCGAAACGGTTGCTGATTTAGTCTCGGGCAACAACAAACGAAATGTTAATTATGTCATTGTAGACTGCCGCTTTCCTTACGAATATGAAGGCGGACATATTAAAGGTGCAATCAATATCTTTACTCACAGCGATCTTGTTCAAGAAATTTTTAATCGTGTACCAGCACAGCGGCCTCCTGGTACATCTGGACCCCCGCGATATCTTGGACAAGAATTAGGTCGAAGATTAGCAGTAACGCAGCGAGAACCACTATCTGCACCATGTGAGCTTCTTTCTGATGATGAAGATGACTTGGAACTTTTTGGAAATACGACTTCAGAGGTTTCTGACTCAGATCTACCTTGTGCCGATGATAATGGTGTAATGGAGACAAATCTACTTAGTGATAGTTCGAAATCAGAGCCAGATCTCAGTTACATCAGCAGTAGTACAGCGAATTCTGGTGATTCAAACACTCAAGACCCTCCATTTGTTGTCATTTTTCACTGTGAATTTTCCTCTCAGCGTGCACCTGCCTTGTAAGTATAATTAAATTATTGGTGAACTAACCTTTTATGAATGTTACTATTTAACCTTTACAATAACTTCCCAACTGTTTGTGTGTATTTTTTTTCTTGGCTGGACCAGTTGGAATGGTATTTCAACATTACCCAGAGTTTCATAATTGCAGATTGGATTGATATCTGCTCCCTACTTTCCAGGTAGGACATGGGACCCGACCGATAGCTGCTACCTTGACGTGGTGGTCGGGCTTGCATATCGCAATGACCCAACGAGCTACACTGGCTGGAACTTATGTTCCTGCAGGTCCTACCATGCCAGGAAGGTTGTTTGGGTAGCGGTAAGACTAAAAGCAGTTACTATCATATTGTAAGTTTCATGCACAATGTTAGGTGTTTGTGGGGAATCAGGGATATGACGACAGTAAGGTGTTTCCTACAGATGACCAGCACGCCAGCAATGCTCTCTCCGCTCTAGAAAGGGCGGGGCATTAGCAACTGTCCGCCCTGAAAATTTTACATCCCGACTTATTTTGCAGCGGACCTCAACTGGTGGTTAGATCTTAATACGGGTGCAACTCCAAAAACCACCTCAACACAGGCCATGTTTGACTGACCTTAGGCAGTGTCCTCTGAGCCCTGAGGTTAAGTAAAGTAACTCTGTTTTTAGGTACCACAAGAGAAAGAAGGAGATAGAATTCTGGTAGGATATCTCCATTCAGTTCAGTCCTCTGCCATTAGACTGGCACCATGACTACTTACAAGCTTTCAGTTCCTCTTCACCTGGTTCCCATGTCACTGTTGAAAGCCAGCTCATCAGTCCCCATTCACTCGAATGACTGGCGTGTAGTGTCGTTTGAAAGTCTTCTCCGTTTTTTTTCCAATCCACATCTATTTCTTTCTGCGTATTTGTCGGTTCAATTATAAGTTTGTGCCTTGATGGCTGCCTTGTTGCTTACCCTTTCCGGTCAGCCATATGATTTTCAGAATGTAATTAGTGAAGGTTATTAATGCACTTCCGCCGGCTGTTGGAAATTTCTCTTGTGACACTCCATGTTTCTGAATCATATAGAGCCGCTGACTTGACATTAGTTTTGAAAATACAGATCTTGTTTGTAGTATAAAGTGCTGTAAATCTTCACAGAGTTCCCGATCCTGGCTTTGATTCTCGTCATCCGTATCACCTGACTTCAGGTAAATGAAGGAGATTATTGATATAAGTATAAAACTTGGGCACTGTGGTAGAGTATAACTCCATTATGATATGATTATGAGCAATAGTTTGTGCTCGAAACGTCATCAGTTAACATTAATGTCAACACTGTGTGATTTATGAAAATAAAATCTTATCCATAATGAAGTGAAGGAGATGACTTCCTTTTCATTCCTCCCGTTGATGGTGGTCGGTGCTTGTTGTTGAACCATAGTCCAGTCTGTCATAGTCAGGTCGGTGATATTATTCAACTGATCTTATTCTTGTCAGTTTTTCGAAGGCTTCGGCAAGCTTAGCATACGGCATCATTATATAGCTGTTGAACGAGGCTAATGACCTAACCTAATTTGTTAGCTGGTTCTAAGTCTGGAAAAGAAAGTTAGTTTTGAGGCTACCAATTTCTACTGAAAATCAAAGCACAGGAGGATATAGAGTCGGTAGGACAACAAAACTCTATAATGCTTGGTTTTTACAAGCGTATCATTAATTTATAGATGTTCACCTGAACTTTTTCGGGAAATCTGCTTAGTTTACTTTATGAAGTAAGACTGAACAGTATTTTTGTTTTTATTCTTCGTATTTATAATACTGGATATTAATTCAGTACCTTTCACTCAAGCTATTTTTAAATGTTATTTATGAACATTCAGGGCTGCATTCCTACGAAGTGTTGATCGTGTGTCGAATTACCACCGCTATCCTTTTCTCTATTTTCCGGAGATCTATGTTATGAAAGGTGGATACTCTGCATTTTACAGAAAATTCTCTGTGAGTTTACATCAATTTCAGTTTTATTCTTAGCCCAATTTGAAATAGAGAAATAAGTCAACTAACTCAAACATTTTATTTGTTCATTTAGCATTTGTGTACTCCGCAAGAATATGTGAAAATGTTCCATCGAGACTATAGAAATGATTTGCGTTTGTACAAGCGTCTCACACGACGTGTGAGTTCTGCCTGTTTGGCATGTATTAAACCACAACCAAAAGAAGAAGAAAAGTTAGATATACCATTGTGTGAAGTCGATAGTTTTTGTCAGCTTCTTCGTAATACGAATGTTGGTCGACTGAAGAAACCTGAAGATATTCCACTGCAACTTCAATTTCCTTCGAAGCATGAATTCCATATCGGAGACGAAAGCGAGGTTTCCTATAATGTGCAGGTTGAGAATAAGGAAAACTGTGTACCAGCAGGTAAGTATTTCGTTTGCTTGCTTTCTCTTTACTGACTGACTGGTTTCAACATAAAAATTTGCACCGATGTACAGCAGTTCGAGTCACCACACTCCATGTAGCACACAAAGCAAGAGTAGAAAGTAAAGTGCAAAATAGCGACAGTAAACAGTGATATAATGCAAAAAGAATAATAATATCGAAGAACTACCAGAAATTTCATCGCGGTAGAAAATTTAATTGCATGGATTACTCTTTACCGCGGCTGCTACCTTGCCGTGGTGGTCGGGCTTACTCATCATAATGATCCAATCTGGCGTGGTTGGCAGGAACGCTCATTCCTACCATACCAGAAAAGATTAGTTGGTGATCGGTGAGACTAAAAGCAGCTGATAGCAAAATAATGTACATGTGCAGTAAACACAACTGACTGTATGGTTAATAGAAGTCAGGTTTACAAGGTGGGGTGCTTCAAGCTCCGCAAAAATTAGTTGTGCTCCAAATCACTGATGATTTAAACTAATCGCTTAAAGAGCCGTATAATCAAAAGTGTCGAAAACTGTCAAATAAACCATTAGTTTTGTTTATGTATCCAGTCTACAGGAGAGATGACTCAGGATTATTTTAAGGTGGTTACACGACAACCGTCCATTCTGTGGCACATGCGTGGATTTGTACTTAGCATTCGTGTTTGGGTACAGTTCTTAACTTATTATGAGATAAAAGCATTTGACGGAGTAAGAGATTCTCAATCTGCTGCATAAAACCGGTAGACTATTTTCGAACCTCAGAAAGCCGACAGCTAAAGGATATACCCAAATGTTGTAGAATCAGTGGATGAATAGCAACCGACTCTCAGGCTCCTGAAGTAAGTTGATTGTCAACTCAGTAATTCTGTGTAGTGACCCTGATTCCTGGCAGACAGTGAAAGATAAGTATGGGGAAATGGCAGTAAAGATAGGTAACGACACATTTGTTTAAGCTTATAATAGTGGCTAGGTTTAGTATTGCGTCAATAAGTTATCAAAGTGAGTAAACGGTGGCATGCACTCCTTGGATAAAGTACCACTTCACCCTCAGTAACCTGAGTGGGTTGTTAACTTGGGACACCTGAGGCTTATATAGGTTGAGGAAACAACATGACTGATACTGAAGATGCTTAACGTCCATGCCCAAATCGGGGATTTCGCTTTGGGTACTGTGTGCACACTTGTGGCATTTTAATGAGTTGTAATGTCATACTTAAGTTTGAGGTGTATCCTTGGAGTGGTAATGTTGATGTTCTGCAGTTGTAGACTACATTTGCTGTGTTAGAAGTCCTGTGCGTATAGTTACTGCGAATTTTACCCAGGTCTGGAATGTATGTTTATTTTATAATATATCTCATGTCCATATTGCAGAACTCATATCTTTTCCTTTCTTTTATTCAGACGTTTGCAGCCATTCACAAAATGCCTCTACTCATTCTTCAAGTAATGAGAAGCTTGATGTGAATTTTTCCCCTTCCGTAGCACCTTGTAGTTCTGAAAGACTATCGTCGAGTATGGTGGATAGTCCTCTTGGTTTGGCAGAGGTGGTTGTCAGGGTTGGTCGTCGAGTGATTGCAGCCACGTTGGGTGGTGCTGGCACAAAGTCTACTGAAGTTGTCCGCGCTTTAGATCAAGCAAAACAACCTGAATCGGTTCAACCAGTTAATGTTGTAAAAAGCAGGCCTCAAGGGCGTTTTGCGCTGAAACGTGCGCTTACTACTAGTGCCTTGGATACTCCTTGTCAGATGATACGTCCAAGTGATCACAATCCTTTCTGTGATGGTAGTTATTTACAAAATACACCAGCAATTAGGAAAGCTCGACCTAATGATGATACATTTGGTTTAGCAACGGCAACAAACAATAATAGTAGTTGTTTAACGATATCAAACTCCTCAGTTGATTCGAATCATAATATTGAGGTTCAGTCTTCACCAGAAAAAGGACTTTTATCCTACCACAGTCTTTCAACATATAGTGAATGAATAAGTGTATATTTTTTATTATTTCTAATCTTTGTTCTTTTACCCTTGAACATTGATCATCAGCATTCTCAGGTTAGGTGGGGTGTTTCTTTTTCAACATAACCTGTATATATTTATTTCGAAATATGCAACTGTAGACAATCCTCTTAGTTTCTTTAAAAAGCGTGATGAATAATGTTGTTTCTACTTGCAATATTTATACTTTTTTTCATAGTAATCATTTATCTTTTATACACATGTACTACTTATGTGCATTTATTCAATTCTTTTAGGAGTATTATATTGCTTTTTTATATTTTTTTAATCAGTTAGACATTTTGTACAGTCTTTTCGGATTTCTTTTATATCCCTGGGTAAAAATGCATTTTCCATGCAATGTGAACCACTTAGTGAGAGTGTGCTCTGCTCAGTATTGTCTTTATTACTACTATTATTATTATTATTATCATCTTTATTTTAAATTATCTTCCTTCTATAAGTGTCATCCATATATGTATGGATATATGTATAGACACTTGTATTTATGGCATTTATCGTCCTATTGTTTATATGTTTCTATTCAGTGTTTTTTATTACAAAACAGGCACCAATTGTTGCATTTATATGTGATCCAGTGCATTATGCAGAAAATATGGTTATATATTTTAGAAAATTATGAAAATCACTATGAAAAGTGAATGATAATATCTCATAATATACATGCATACATACATATATACAAGTGTATGACATTTTTATGCTGTTGTTATATCTTTACCTAATGCAAACAAGTAGTGACCAACTTATATAAGCATGCAATTCACTTTTTATCTCGAAACCTTTTCCGTATAATTCTTGCTGAATTTGTCATCTTATACAGTGGGTTTTTTTTTAATAATTCGCCTTTTTTTTATTCGGTCTACTATGTTGTGCATAAGTGACTTGCTCATCTCCTAATTACTTTTTGCGTTTACTTTCATGCCGAAAAAATAACTAGGATTATATGAGATATCTTTCAAACCTCTAAACTACTATTTCCTTTCGCATTATATGAATTATTGTGTAGTGTAGAGGTACACTGCTTCAGTTCTAGCATACGTGTTCACTCCACAGACTCCATCGTCGTCTTCTTCTTCTTCAGGCTTGTCTGGTGTTTGTAGTTAGAAGGTGGAAGAGATTGTTCACGTAATCTTTGTTCACTGGATAAAAAAAAGCGTGGTACAGACTTAAGGAAGCTTGCTTTGACGTCTCTGTTTTACTACAGAGGAGATCTGATGATATCGTTAACTGCACTGATAGTACTATCTCGAGGCAAATGAAATTTAGTTCAGGCATATACTGTTCAATAAGTCAGTTTTAGGATCGTAGTTTTTATAAGAAACCTATTTTGTGTCAGTTACTTCCATTAAGATTAGGATTATATGTGCACTTGAAATATGCTCTGAATATGTTGTGTAGAAAAAACCAACGAAAGCTTCGCAACTAAACCATCTGGCTTAGAGGACACGACTAAACCAAAACCATCCACCTGAGCTACAAATCTTCCCTAACATTTAAATTGTTTCAGTCCTGTTATTCACAGTGGTTTTTAGTGTTGCGACATTTTCACTGTTTCAATTTTACCTCGATGAATAGCTTTAATGTACTTGATAAACTGATTGAGTATATATATCATGGGCCATTGGATCGGGTCCCAGTGGCTCAATGGTCTACGAGCTGGCCTTGTAACCAGAAGGTCCTGGATTCGAACCCCGGTGGGTGCGTACTGATGAAGAGTCCCAAACTAGGATGAAACAGCTGTGCAGTACTCCTAGGTTTTCCAATGGTTCTCTAACTGATGTCAGCTCATGATGAAATCCTCCATCCAATTAATGAAGATTGCTTGATGAAATTAATGTAAACAAATTTCATCTGGAAAGCATGTAACTATTTGCTTCTATACCTTTGCTAACAAGTGTTTAGTGTTTCGCAGTTATTATAATGTTATTATTATCATTGAGTCGAAACTACTTTTCAACTCCTTATGCTTTGTCGTTTAATGTAAATCCGTTTTCGGCTGAATTTATGAATAGAATGTAGCGGGGTATAATTCTGTCATAGAGTAAATTTATTTGATAGAAGTACAGTGATTCAGTATTATTTACTGTTGACGTTTTGAACACAATTTATTGCTCACAATCATATCAAGACACTGACATAACTTTCAAATTTTGTTTTCATTATTTCTCATCTTTTAATTTTATTGGTAGTAATATGCTCCATAACTCTGTATTGATGTTGTGTAATTCCTATTGCATGTGTTGGGTTGGGTTTAGGTGACTGAATCTTTATTCATCAACTTTACACCTAACATGTGTGATGAGAATGATGCAACACCACTACGAGAGATATGAAACATATTACTACCAATAAAATAAAAAACATTGAAAATAATGGAATTATATAAACAAAGTCTGAAAATTGTGAGTATCTTGATATGCTATAATAGAAATTTATTCTATCACAGTGCCCAAGTTCTATCCTAATCTTAAGCGACAAAGCATAAGGCGATTTATAAAAAGGAGTTGAGAACTAGTTTCGATTGAGTAATAAACACCAACATAAAACACTGAACACTTGTTAGCAAATGTATCGAAGCAATTAGTTAGATTCTTTTTAGATGAAATCGATTGATATTATATGATTGTGGGCAATAAATTATGCTGGAAGCTAAACATCACTGTGACGTCTGTCTCCCTCGACGGGCAATGTTAGCTAACATAGGATCGATCAGGTTGGAAAAGAGCCAGTGGTGGTCAAACCAAAGCACGGCGTCAGTCAATGAAATCTAAAATGAAATCCACAGCAGTTAGTTTAAGCCACGTAGGAAGATGTAGACTTCCTGGTTGGGGTCCTCGGGATGGTAAAAACCAATGAAGGCTGGAGACAATTGGTGATATGGCTCAAAATCGTTCTCAATGACTAGCGCAGATGCATCCATTCCTTGTGACTTATAATACCCAATAAAACTATATTGTTCTTTGTTATTACTATTCTTTTTGCCTCATATCTTTTATGTCTCTATTTTGCATTTCTTTTTACTTTCTCCTTCTCTGGCTTTGTGTGCTGAGTGAAGTGTGGCGACTCGAACTGCTTCACATCGGTGCAAATTTCTATGTCGAAACCAGTCAGTCAGCTACTTGAGTTTTAGTCAATCGGTCCAAGATTTTAACTCTAGCAGAATTCGGCTTAGACTATTAGGTATCTTTTTTAGCGTTTAAGTATTATGCTGGGAGTACTGTTAGATTAACTAGGTTGAGGTAAATTATACTTTCCTCGTTGTGACGAGTTTTGAATAGAGAGGAATAGCTAGTTAATTTTCTTCATACTGCTGAATAATTCTATTTGATTTGCCTCATTTTCATTTCACTTGTTGTGAACGCGCTTTTACATCTGCTGAATGTCAAACGTTATTATAATACAGCTTGTCGTAGTTTCATTTCATATAAAATGACACATAGTTGCTAAGGCCCATCGTATGGTGATTTGCATTAATCACGGCTTTAAAACTGCACTTTACTATGAAGTGTTTGGTTCAAACTCTAATCTACTCACGTCAGCCAATCACTAAATTCTACAATATATACATATATATGTTAAGTACATACTTTCTACGTGAATTATCTTTCCATGATAACTGCATTGTCCTAATACTTACTTTTGCATAATCTAGGTTAATCAGTACTTTAGTAGCTTTGTTTTTGCATGAGTTAAATAAAGCATTCGTTGAAATCAGTTTCTATTTCATTTTTCGGTTTCAATTTTCTATGTGAAAATATCAGACCTGTTCCTTTCATGCCTTTGGCAATTCGAGGTAGTGACATGTTTCTTTCTTTGTATATCAGTCTGTCTATCTATCCACTGTTGTTCTATATTCCTAAATACAAAGATGTGGGTATAGTTAGGTATGAGTCATTGTGTTGTACACGCGACCATTTTTGATTTACGCCTGTTTTGCACGTGTACACGCGCTTTTCGGAATACTACTACTACACAGTAGTTTTCCCTGGGATCAAATATTATAGAAATTAGGAAAATTGACCTAAAACCATTTTAAGTAGAAATGTTGAAAACCCGGATATAATAATTTCTTTTTCTATACTGACAATTCCATTGGTTAATATTTTATAAACTAGCTAGAACCAGCAGAACAAGTCACCATCTGCCTTGGTCATATGATAAAAATAATCTTTCATTAGATGATTCATTATTTTCCCAAGGTTATAATGCTTTTGTGTCTGTCTAACGCTCGATAAGGTCAGATTAAGGATTTCCCATCCCAGATGGTTCATCATTAGACCTGAGTGTGTGAACCTTTGTTCGGTTTTCAGGACAAAAGAGCCTTTTTTCTAAAATAAAAAAAAACAAGAAAGGCTGATTTCAGCTGCTAGGATGAAATTTGAAAGACATACACATGACCTGAACATTAAAACACATTTTCGGACAGATTTCTGCCCTATACCACCTGGCTATCTTTTATTACCAACACAATTATATCATACGTTCTGGGTTGATTTTCTTTTTAGGTGTATTATCCAGTGAAGCATTATATGCTTGGCTTTTAGGATCTTTCAGTTACGAAAGGATAAACAACGTAGTCTATATTGTCGTATATGATTATGAAATGTCCTCAATAAACTGTGCAACATGACTCCGTGTTACATCATTTAGATCCATTTGTTCACAGTAATTCTGTGTCAATCACTGTATGACGTTTTTGATCGTCATTAATTGGTGGTTATATTATGCTTGATGTAATATAATAGCGTAGTGTACTCACTTTAGGGTTTATCTGTCAGATATCCACAGACCCGAATTCTCTGCTTATTGAATATGATTATACTGCAGTTACGAAATAATGTTTCTGTAGTCTGTTTTACAGTGATTCTTATTTTTTTCATTTTACAAAGAGAGTCAAGTGTAAAAAGTAGACTCATCGAGGCAAAGTTACGCTATCATGGCTGAAGTCACAGTGACCTTGAACAATCAATCAGAATTCAGATAGAAAAAAGTCGCATAATGGTTGAAAAATACACAAAAAAACATCGCAAACACCATATTACACTGTATAGTTGTAGCTTATGTGTTGTAAGAATATCTCCAAGTTACTACACAGACGATCTATAAAAAGATCGTCTGTGTAGTGCGATATATCTATTCATCCAGGTGGCTTTAGGACACGGGCCTTTGAGATCCATTGATATTTCTGACACTAGTCTTCGATCTGATCCTAACCTTAAGCCATAACTCTCTACATAGCAGTATAGATTTGCAGGAAAAGTACCCGGTAAATAAGTAAATTACTGTATTTACCCTTACAATTCCAAAAAGGCAGGCATGATTTGATTTGGAAAGGTATTTCATAGTATTACCTGTATCTGATCGGTTCTTGAAGGTCAACTTTTGAAAGACCTTGACTTTGGCTATGGTACTTTAACTTCATCCTCAAGTTCAAATCATTTAGGTGTAGACTGACCTGTGTATCATGCATGACTTTTGATGAATATAATCTCCATACTTGTGAATAGTGCTTAGCTGTGATAACAAATTACCTTGGATAATTTGAAAGAATAAAAGTAGTTTTTTAAAAACAAATCCAAATGTCATGTGAGTGATGAGCATCATTTTCAACAGGTTTGCACTTATCTAAACTGACATCATAGTGATATTGGTGACCTTTTTAAAGTAATGTACTTCGTACAGTGTAAATTAAAATTGTTTTGGTGTTTACATGTAATAAATTAGTAGTTGTGATGTTGAAAGTATGTATAACCGTTCAAATTGCATATTTTACTCGATACAAAATTGGATAAGTATCAATTTATTGGTAAATTGAAACATTCTTCTGATTGTGTGTTACGTTTGAAGTGAATTCCTGGGTAGAATTAAACAAGAACATTTCCCATCAATAGAATACGAAATTCAGATGATAATAATAATAATAGCAATAATATCTGTTGCATGGTGTGTGGTTCCCTTGACTCAATGGACAAAACTTGGGAGTTTGAAAGGATATATGCTCGGTTTCAGCCCCTGTGTGAAAACTCATCTG